TTTTTGACATTTTTCGACATCAAATTAAGATTCCCCACAAAATTTCCCCAAATTTTTGTAGTTTACACCTTTTTGATAGGTACTGTAGTTTTTGAGTTATGCGCCTTTAAAGTTAGCGGGAGAGGGAGAGAGACGGAGAGAAGCGAGAGTGCACTCGCTTCTCGGCGTCTTCTCTTATTTTTCAGACATTTTTTTTTGAAATTTTCAGCCAATTTTCAGACTATAATCTTCTTGAGAATGTATAAATCGAAAATTTCTATTTCCTGTCTACCAAATGTCACTATTTTTCTAATTTTTGTTCTCTTATCACTATATTTTTATCAAATTCGCTCCTCTATGTGGTTAATTACACTTCTAATTTCTTGTTTTCCTATTTTCAGACTAAAAAATTAGGTCTGGAAAAATATTTTTGACTTAACTTAAAATATCGATTTTTCAAATATTTCAAAAAAAAAGAAGAATTTTTTAAATTTTTTGATATGACTTTTTTCTCGCAAATTCTATGAATTTTCTAGTTTTGAATACGAATTCAGCTCATTTTTAGCTTCAAAATGAGCCCAAACACGCCTAGGCTCCGCCCACTTTCAGTTTTCCTGCGCGTCGCGGTCGTGCGTCGCGTGTCTCGGCGGAAATTCAAAGTGGGCGGAGTCTAGTCGTGTTTGGGCTTATTTTGAAGCTTAAAATAACCTAAACTCAAATATAAGAGTAGGAAATGTATAAAACTTGCTTGAAAAAAGTTATAATCTAAAAAAACTTTTTTGACATTTTTTTTTCAAAAATTCCAAAATACAATTTTTTTCAGATTCTTTTCCAGATTTCTCCGTTTTCAAAAATGACTACCATAAAACACTTATTGCTTATTTCCACCCTGCCAAATGTCATTTCAACACTTCACATACTTTTCTACATTTTGCTGCTCGGAAAATCGCATATCGATTTTACGGATTCCCTAATCGACTCGCTTGTAGAGAATGGTCATACTGTAGTGAGTTTCCGATTTTTAGACTAAATTTTCAAATTTTTCATAAAAAATGCTTCAAAATGAGCCCAAACACGACTAGCTTCCGCCCACTTTAAGCTCCGACCACTTTCCCGATCCCTCCTTGAGAGTGGGCGGAGCCTAGTCGTGTTTGAGCTCATTTTGAAGCGCTGAACATGTCAGATCCAGATTCCTTGTGAAAAATGCGTTAAAATGAGCCTAAACATGACTAGGCTCCGCCCACTTGGAAATTTCCCTTTGGCACGCGACGCACGACCGCGACGCGCCTGAAAAGTGAAAGTGGGCGGAGCCTAGTCGTGTTTGAGCTCATTTTAAAGCCCTTGACTTGCTTGATAGGAAAAAAATATCAAAATTGAGTTTAAATCAAAATTTGAAGAGTTAGAGCAATTTCAAAATTCCCAAAAAGCCAAAAAAGTTTTTTCAGGACCTAATAATCGCTCGAATGAATAGCCACGTCACAACAAATGGATCATCGAAAGCTTCTAGAATCTATTCTTATGGATTTCAAGAAGAAAGTCCATGGTCCAAAACACCCCATTTATTGGACCCATTTCAGCCGAGGGTCAGAACTTGGATGGAACACGAACACTATATGGGCGTGGCCACGGATTTGTGTGAAAGTAAGACAGCTTTTAATCAAAAATTCGGATTTAGCGTAAAAAATGCTTCAAAATGAGCCTAAACACGACTAGGCTCCGCTCATTTTGAGAATTCTGTCGCGTCGCGGTCGTGCGAAGCTGGTCTGGGTGAAATTTCAAAATGGGCGGAGCCTAGTCGTGTTTGGGCTCATTTTGAAGCTCTTAATGTCACAAGTTCAATAAAGTAAGAATTGTAGAGTTTGAAACAAATTTGACAAAGTTATGATTCAAACAAATTTCGCAAAAAAAAAATCCAAATTTTAAAACCGAGATTTTTCTGTATAATTTTTGTATTTGATGGAATTTAAGCTACAATAGTGTCCTCAACGCGTTTTGAGCTTCAAAATAAGCCCGAACACGACTAGGCTCCGCCCACTTTGAGAAATCTCTTCGGCACGCGACGCACGACCGCGGCGCACCCGAAAAACCAAAGTGGGCGAAGCTTGGGCTCATTTTGATGCGCTTTACATACCAGATTCAAACTCAGCGTTAAAAATAAGTTCTAATGCATTCCAACAAATCTAGGCTCCGCCCACTTTAACCTGGAATACCAAAAAAATGGGCGGGGCTTAAAGTAGGTCGTGTTTAGGCTCATTTTAACCCATTTTAGGCCTAAAATTCAAATTTCAATTTTATTTTTCAGTTGGACTAGGCGATCCGGGTCTACATGCATTTTTGGCCAACCAAATGTACGATATTGGAATTGCGACGGAATACGATTACTGTGGATTAGCACTAATGAAGTACTACAGTATACCGAGTACGGTATCTGTGAGTTCTTTGGCAGTGCTCGACCAACAAAGTATCAATGCTGGAATGCCGAATTCTGCGGCGGTCACTCAAGGTTGGAGTTTTTGAATTTTGAAAATTTGCAATCTCTAATTTTATTTTTGAATATATCTTTTTAAATTGGGCTTAAAACTTAAAACAATTTTGAAATTCAAATGTTGGACGCTGAGAGCTTCAAAATGAGCCTAAACACGACTAGGCTCCGCTCACTTTCGTTTTTCGGGGGCGTCGCGGTTGTGCGTCGCGTGTCTATGAGGAACTTTCAAAGTGAGCGGAGCCTACGCGTGTTTGGGCTCAATCGAAAGCTCAAAATGTCAAAAACTTGAAAATGTGACTTTTGAAAAAATTGGAGCAAAACTATTCGAGTTATGATGATTTCAAATTTTGACCCAAAAAAAGTAAAGTCGTCCTAACTAGGTCAACTTTTGTCTAAATCAAAATTAACCTCAAGTTTTGAATTTGGCACGTTAAGAGCTTCAAAATAAGCCCGAACATGACTAAGATCCGCGCACTTTGATTTTTCGGACGCGTCGCGGTCGTGCGTCGCGTGTCTTCGTGAAAACTCAAAGGGGGCGGAGCCTAGTCGTGTTTATGCTCATTTTAACGCATGTTTAATGACGAAATCGTATTCGTCAGGCTTCACGATTCAAAATGAGCCCAAACACGCCTAGGCTCCGCCCACTTTGACTTTTCGGACGCGTCGCGGTCGTGCGTCGCGTGTCTTCGTGAAAACTCAAAGTGGGCGGAACCTAGTCGTTTTTAGGCTCATTTTAAAGCGCTTAGCATGCCAAATCTGAATCTGACGTTGAAAGTGAGTTAAAATGAGCGAAGACTTTGCTAGGCTCCGCCCATTTCTACAGATCCCCCTTAAATGGGCGGAGCTTGATGTGGGCGGAGCCTAGGCGTGTTTATACTCATTTTAACCCTTTTTTCGAGCCAAATTCAATTTTTTCAGCCATTTTTGAGACTGAGGACCTCACAACATGGTTTGGAAAGCTGAAAAATCTAATAAATTGGACCCATATCAATTGGATCGTCCATCCCTACTGTCGAGAAGTCCAATTTAAATCGATTCGCAAATTTTTCGGGTCAAATTTTGAGCTGAGCAGTTTAGTGGAGTCGATCGATGTGCAATTTGTCAATTCCAATGAGCTCATTGATCTACCACGTGTTGGGACCCCGAAAATGAAGTATATTGGAGGGATCAATTTGAAAAAATCGATCAAAAAATTGGAAAAATCGATTGAAGAAGTGATTGGTGATGTGAAAGAGGGTATTGTAGTGTTTTGCTTCGGAACTCAGGTTGGTGGGAATTTATTGATTTGTTTGAAAAAAAAAATTTTTTTTTTTTCGTTTTTGCACTCTAGTTCTTTCAATTTTGTTCCAAAGAAAATTTATAATGTTTTCAAATTCAGCATGTTTTTAGCTTCAAAATGAGCACAAACACGCCTAGGCTCCGCCCACTTTGAATTTTCCCTTTGGCACGCGACGCACGAACGCGACGTGCCCGAAAAATGAAAGTGGGCGGAGCCTAGTCGTGTTTGGGCTCATTTTGAAGCAGAAAACATGCTGAATTCGAACTTGTGACTCAAATTTCAAATAGTGCAAAAGTTAGATCGAAATAGGGAAAATTAATTTTTTTGAAAATTTTCTGAAAATTTTTGCTCCAATCCGAAATTTGTAGCTAAATTTGATTTTCTTGTGTTTTAAACTTCAATATGTGCTTAAACTCGCCTAGGCTACGCCCACTTTGAAATTTTACATCCGCACGCGACGCACGACCGCGACGCGCCAGAAAAATTCAAAGTGGGCGGAGCCTAGCCGTGTTTAGGCTCATTTTAAAGCGTAGAATGCGACACATTTGATTTCGTAACTTAGTTTTCATCAAATGCCAAAAGTTTGGGCAGAAAATGCAGAAAAAATGTTTTTGGAAATTTTTCGAAAATTTGATTTGACAACAACTTTGTCAAATTTTGCTCTAAACGGAAATTTTTATCTGAATTTAAAATTTCCCTGTTTCGAGCTTCAAAATGAGCCCACACACGGCTAGGCCCCGCGCATCTTGAAATTTCCCTTTGACACGCGACGCACGACGCGCCTGAAAAATCAACATGGACGGAGTCTTATCGTGTTTGGGCTCATTTTGAAGCTGAAAACCAATCAATTCCAAACACTTTGCTCAAGTTTCATACAATACAAAAATATTCAGAGAAAAAGCAAAAACCATTTTTTTGGAATTTTTTGAAATTTTTGATTGGATCATAACTTTTCAAACTTTGCTCTAACATTTGTTGATAACTTTGACTTTCTCATGTTTTGCGCTTCAAGATGAGCCCACACACGACTAGGTTCCGCCCACTTTGAAATTTCCCCTAGACACGCGACGCACGACCGCGACGCGTCAGGAATATGAATGTGAGAGGAGCCTAGTCGTGGGTATACTCATTTTGAAGCTTTCAACTTCCCGAGTTCAGATCTTCAACTTAATATTGAAATTCTCAAATTCCGAGGAGATAGTCCACTCTGAAAATTTCAGCCAAAACATCAAGTTTTTAAGCTCCGCCCATTTTTTCCAGGTCCCCTCCAATTTGTTCCCAATAGAAGTCCGGAAATCGTTTGCCGGCGCATTCCGACAATTTCCAGAATTCACATTTGTCTGGAAATACGAGCTACAGGACGGGGATGAGCAATTATTCCAGAATATTACAAATTTGAAATTTTTGAAATGGCTTCCACAGACCGATTTGTTGAGTGAGTTGATATTTGATTAAAAATTCAAATTTCTCTTTAAAAATGCTTCAAAATAAGCCCAAACACGACATGGCTCCGCCCACTTTAAGCCACGCCCACTTTTCGGGAAACAGCTAATAGTGGGCGGAGCCTAGTCGGGCGTGGGGGTGCATTTTGAAGCTCTGAACTTGTAAATCTCAAATTTCGTGTTCAAAATGCTTTAAGATGAACCCCATATTGCCTAGGCTCCGCCCATGTTGAAGTTAGGCTCCGCCCACTCTAAGGGGTCCTAGCTATCGCAAAATGGGCAGAGCCTAGCCGTGTGGGGGTGCACTTAAACATAACTTTGACGCCAAAATTCGAATTCAGCACGTTTGCAGCTTCAAAATGATCCCAAACACGACTAGGCTCCGTTCACTTTGAAATTTTCATCTGACACGCGACCGCGACGCATCGGAAAAATGAAAAGGGGCGGAGTCTAGTTGTGTTTATGCTCATTTTGAAGCTGAGAACTTGCTGAATTCAGAAAAAGTGAAAAATTCCGGTTAGGAGCCAAGGTTAAAGACCTAGAGGCGAATAAAAATTTCAGATTTTCAGATTTTTCGAAAAAAAATTGTTTTGAAATTTTTTCAATTTTTCCAAATTTTCAGACGACCACCGCACGAAAGCATTTATTTCTCATGTTGGCTTGAACTCATATCTAGAATCTTCGTACGCTGGAATTCCAATTCTAGCCATTCCCCTTTTCGCCGATCAACCCCATAATGCCCATAGTGGAGAGTCGATTGGGACCACTTATGTGTTGGATAAAACAGACTTGACTACTGAAAATATTATAAAAGGGCTGAAAGCGGTACTCCATGATCCTAGGTGAGCTTTTGAATATTAAGAAAATTTTCACAAAAATTTTTTTTCGATTTTTTGATTTCCCCACAACTTCTTGGAAAGTCATCATTCCTGAATATGGTTGTCACAGTACTCTTTGTTGTGATGAGAGCTTTAAAATGAGCCTAAACACGACTAGGCTCCGCCCACTTTCATTTTTCGGGCGCGTCGCGGGCGTGCGTCGCGTGTCAGACAGAAATTTCAAAATGGGCGGAGCCTAGTCGTGTTTGGGCTCATTTTAAAGCAATTTCAATGGCAAATTTGACTTTTGCAAATATCAGAGCTTAAAAATGAGCCCAAATTCGCCTAGGGTTGGTCCAGTTTAGGCTCCGCCCACTTTTCAAGGACCTCTCAGAGGGGGCGGAGCCTAGTCGCGTTTGGGCTCATTTTGAAGTATTTTTCATGCAAAATCAGTTTTTCAAAAACTGAGAGTTTTACAATGAATCTAAACTCGCCTAGGCTCCGCCCATTTTGAGAATCTTGGGACCCCTGAAAGTTGGCGTAGCGTAAATCTCTAAGTGGGCGGAGCCTAGCCCTGTTTGGGCTCATTTTGAAGCACATTCGAAACCAAATTTAAATTTTGCACATTCCAAGCTTCAAAATGAGCCCAAACACGACTAACCCCCGCCCATTTTGAAATTTACCTCCGACACGCGGCGCACGACCGCGACGCGCCGAACAAAGCAAAGTGGGCGGAGCCTAGTCATGTTTGGGCTCATTTTGAAGCTCAGAACGTGCTGAATTCAAATTTTTGTGTTATTTTGGACTTGAAGCACAATTCAAAACATTATATGCAAAGTTCCAAAAAAAAATTTTTCAGCTATCTTCAAAACGCCAAACGCATCTCAAAAATGCTGCACGAACGTCCGAATCCACCAAAATCGATATTCGTCGAATGGGTGGAGTACGCTGCTCGGAATCCGCTGCTCCATCGAAATCTAAACCTCCCCTCTCAGAAAATGACCGTAATCCAGTATTACTGTATTGATATTCTTGCCGGTTGTGTAGTTTTTGTAGTTTTTGTAGTCTTTGTAGTTTGGAAAATGTTGAAATTGGTTTTGGAGCGAATTTCAAGGAGAGCGAATGTGAAGAAATTGAAGAAAATTCAATAAATTGGTTTTTTTGAGAATAATTAGTTAAGAATGAGCAATAAATCAATAAAATCTTGATAACTGACGATTTTTATTGCCAAATTATCACTCAGCTCGCTGAGAGCTTTAAAATGAGCCTAAACACGGCTAGGCCCCGCCCACTTTGAGTTTTACCGTTGGACACGCGACGCACGACCGCGACGCGCCGGAAAAATGAAAGTGGGCGGAGCCTAGTCGTGTTGAAGCTCATTTTGAAACTCTGAACTTGTGAAATTATTCAAATTTCATTTTCCAAATGCTTCAAGGTGAAGCCCATGTTGCCTAGGCTCCGCCCATTTCGAAGTTAGGCTCCGCCCCCTTTAAGGGGTCCTATCTATCGCAAAATGGGCGGAGCCTATTCGTGTTTGGGCTCATTTCAAAGCACAAAACATGCTGAATTTGACTTCTTTACACTCCGGGCTACAAAATGAACCCAAACACGTCTAGGGCCGGCCCACTTTGATTTTTCGCGCGCGTCGCGGTCGTGCGTAGCGTGCTTCCCGAAAATTCCAAAGTGGATGGATCCCAGTCGTGTTTGGGCTCATTTTGAAGCTAGAAACGTGCTGTATTCGAATTTTCGTGTTTTGCACCTTTAAAACAGCCGAATTCCTTTATTAAACAAGAAAAGAAAATATAACAATATCTCAAAATCAATGTTTTCTCACATAATGGATTTTTTCTTCCTTGTGGCTCTCATAATCGTATGAGTTATCCGTTATTTTTTCAGTTTCGTCTTCTATTTTGGAATAATCGTATTCATCTGCATCCGATGGAATACTGACATTCGATGAACCGGAAGACACCTGAAAAATCAAAATTTTGGGATTTTTCGATTTTTTTGAATCGAAAATTTCGATATTTTTTATCATTTTATCAGAGTATTTTTCGAAATTTCCAAGTCTGAAAAAATACATTTTTTACCTGGTTATCATCATCACAAGTGGCCACCTGCTGATCGTCGGAATCGTTGTCGGACATTTTCTGGAATTCTTTTCGGAATTTATCAATTTTGACAATTACTACGGGATTTGGGGCGTTGAGAGCTTTAAAATGAGCCCAAACACGACTAGGGTCCGCCCACTTTGAAATTGCATTGTGACACGCGACGCACGACCGCGACGCGCCGGAAAAATCAAAGTGGGCGGCGCCTAGCCGTGTTTGGGCTCATTTTGAAGCCCTCAAAGTGCCAAATTCCAATTTAGGTGTATCAATAAGTTTGGAGCACAATTTAAGAAGTTATAGGGGAAATTGAAAAAAAAAAAGTTTTACAGAATTTCGAAAAACTGAAAATAGTTCTAAAGAGCGCGCAAGCAGACTCTTTTATACAGAAAACAAACGCT